TACATAATATCAAAATACTATATCTTCTTTTTATGATGCAAAAAATTAATCAAGATTTGTGAATTTATCTTATGTTATGTATTGTACAAACAATTTTGTGCACATATTTGATACAAATATGCCAAAACTGTTCTCAGTAAATCCCCACACACCTCAAGAGCATGTCCTGATAAAAAAATGTGTTTTATTTTTTTGTATTTTTATTTATTTTATTATTTTTACAGTAGTCAGTATGCTTACCAGAGCACATTATATTTGGGGAGCAACAACAGGTGATGGATCATACGTTAGGGTTGGGGGAAGTATATGGTTGTAGTTTGGTGAAGAGGTTTTGTTGCTTGTAAATGGGTTTTATGTGCATGTTACGATTCATGTAATATTAAAAGGACTGGATTAAGTGCTGCTTGATTGCTGAATGATGAATTTAGTCAGTAGATTTTAATTCTTCACATTGTTTTAGGGTGAAGAACTGTGGCCCGCAGTGATTCAGTTTACTTTGGTTGTTTACATATGCACTAATAATTGGCTTTTTATTTTTTTTATTTTAAAGTCAACATGAAATGACTCTATTTAATTTATTACATGATGCTGTGTACATTAAAAATTTTTTTTTTAATGTTTTATCTAAATGTAACAATTTGCCCATCCACAAAATTATATTAAAATAGGTAATGCAGAAATGTATTGGCTATTATTGTACTAATGTTATGACTATAAAATTCCCTTTTACGCTAGTGGCCAAAAGTTTGGAATAATTAAGAAGGTTTTTTTTTTAAGGCTGCGTTTATTTGATTAAATTACAGTAAATAGTACAGTAATATTGTAAAATATTATTACAATTTAAAATAACTTTTTTCTATTTTAATATATTTGAAAATGTAATTTATTGCTGTGATGCAAAACTAAATTTTCAGCATCATTACTTCAGTCTTCAGTGTCACATTCAGTGTCAAGAAACATTTCTTATTATTATCAATGTTGAAAACAGTTGTGCTGCTTAATATTTTTATGGAAACCGTGATACACTAGTACCATTCAAAATTTTGGGGCAAGTATCATAAAAAGAAATAATTCATAATTTTATTTATTATTGTAAGGATGCATTAAATTGGACAAAATGACAGTTAATGAAGACATTTATAATTTTACAAATAAAAATGTATCATAGTTTCCACAAAAATATTAAGCAGCAAAAACTGCTTTCAACATTGATAAGAACCATTATTGAGCACCAAAAATAACAGAAAATTCAGCTTTGCCATCACAGCAGTAAATTACATTCAAACATTCAAAAAAAAGCAGTACTTTAAATTTAATAATTATTTTTGATCAAATAAATGCAGTCTTGAGCATAAGAGACTACTTAAAAAAAATTTTTAAAATCTTAATTACTCCAAACTTTTGACCTCCAATGCAATACCTTTGGTATACATGTTTATCATTTAACATGCTAAAAAGGTAAAAAAAAAAAAGTTCTAATTAACATTTCATGTTGATTTTAGTTCACAAATTGTAATGTTACTAGTTCCCTGCAGTTCTAAAGCTGATAGTCTAGATCTTAAATCCCATCGCTGAATTGTTTTCAGAGACTTTCAGAAATGAATGAGCCGAGAGTGGCCTCAGGCAGCTAAAGTGATTGTGTTTGTGGTAATATATGTTATTGAGTGTGTATGTGTGTGTTTGGGTATGAGAGAATTTACCACAAGCCATTTTCTGACACAAAACACTTGTGCGTGATGCTGACCATCATGCAAATTTTCACATATGTTTATGAGAGATTATTATGATGGTTGTATGTCAGAACATGGCCCTTTAAGATATATTATCATGAATATTAGGGTTACAAAAGATGGGAGCATTTTCAGTGAATCGCACTGAAACAAGTACAATGTGAACTGAAAACACTGTCTTTGTTTTCTTTTGGCTCATTGGTGATTAGATCTGATTTTAAATACTCAAGCTGAAAGTGATCGCATGTACAAAAATACAAAACATTGCACATGTCCAGTTGCGAGTTCTGTTCAATTTTGTGTTCTGTGACAACTGTTAACACCTCCTATTGCAGAAAGACTGCTCAGATTTCATCATCACAGCTGATAAATCGAGGACGGCCTCTGTTAAGCCCTGTCTCTGGCACTATGATCTATATTGTAAATAGTCTGTGAAGAGTTGAAATACAGCCCCTGGTGGCTAATTTCTTATAGTGGCCTCTTTCTTGAGGCTGACAATAAACATCAAATAGAGAATAGAGTTGCTGTTTCTTATATGAACCTCAGAAGTGAATCTTTCTTGTGTGTGCATGTGTGTATAACCCCAGTGTAGATCAAACATGTTACATTTCACACCAAAATCAAAGCATAAATAAACAAGAAATACAGTTTTGTATGAAGACTATTTTTAGAGCAATTAATGCAATAATTTCATAATTTCTCCTATATTTTCATTGCTGTAAGAATGTAATACATCTGGATATTTCACTGTGGTTTTTGAGTTTATTTTATTGTAATTCCAATGTGTTCTTAGTGATTTCTTTTTTTAAATAGTCATTTACACACGGTAATAGCATTATATATATATATATATATATATATATTTAAATCAGCGTACATTAAATGCAGTGATGCACAAATCCATGATTCAGAAATGTTAATAATTAATTTCAGTCATGATTTGCTGATTGATTATTTTATACATCAAACTACTTTTTTCTGTAACTGTAATTTCTTCACCTGTAAAAACACCTTAAATCAGTTTTACATCATGAAAAGCTGGATTTTCAGGGCAAATTCTGACATCAAAAATGCAACCAGAACAGATTATCAGATGTGATTTTGCTCAAAGCCTGCATGAGGATACTAACCACAAACTGAACTCTTGTATCTTTTATATAAATAAACTGCATGGCCTAAAGTATGAGGAAAATTGAACACCACACTTACATGCTCGTTGAACTATTAATTCCATAAACATTGTAACTAATTAGGGAATCGATCCTCCATAAAAGCCTCTACCTTTTTGGGAAGGGCCTTCAACTAAAGATGGAGTAAATATCATCTCCATGGACCTTGCATAAGTGACATTGTCATGCAGAAAAGAATACTATAAATGCTCATTTAAAGGAATAATTCACCCAAAAATCAACATTTGCTGAAGATTTACTCACCCTCAGGCCATCCAAGATGTAGTTGTGTTTATTTCTTGATCAGAACGGATTTGGAGAAAATTAGCATTACATCACTTGCTCAACAATGGATCCTCTGCAGTGAATGGGTGCCGTCAGAATGAGAGTCCAAACAGCTGATAAAAACATCACAATAATCCACACCACTCCAGTCCATCAATTAATGTCTTGTGAAGTGAAAAGATGCATGTTTGTAAGAAATTATTTGTGTTTTATGATGTTTTTATCAGCAGTTTGGACTCTCATTCTGATGGCACCCATTACTTATATTGACTTTTTTTGTACCTGTTTATCATGAGTTTAGTTTAAATAGCTAAATCTGTTCATTACAAAGGTGTGTCCATACTTTCATTTATGGATATTTCTCACAAATTACCATTAAAATGCAAGCAAAACTCAGATATACATTTCCCAATGAGCAATGTGAGATTGCTGCGTAAATGTTTTACATAATTATCTCTGTGTATAATATTCAAGAATGCATTGACTTGTGTGTGTAAAAACAAGTATTGTGACAGACAGATACACATAATGTGAGCTAATCCACATGTGTGGAGAAATATATAACACTACATTGCATATTCTTGCATTGCTTCTCTTTTGACTACACAATTAATGTGTTGTTTCTCTCTCTCTCTCTCTCTCTCTCTCTCTCTCTCTCTCTCTCTCTTTTGTTACTTTTAGTCCCAAGGCTCCAGGAAAGAAGAAAGGAAATTGAAGAAACATGATAAATGAGAAAAGATGAAAAGAACACATTGTGTCTACAGGTCTTACACTCCTGCCCTATTTCCAAAGGAAAAGATGAGGGTTATATTTCAAGTGCCTTATTATGCTCACAATATTAAACTCTGTTATGAAAGATGGTACTTCTAAACTAAACTCTGCTGACGTACTTTATGGTACTTCATATTTATGCTGATGCCTCATTGTTGTGCATTTGATATTGTGATTGACTAGTTATAATACTAATGTAAACAGATTTTGTGTTTTGAACGCTGGAACTGGGAAAATGAATGAAAGTCCTCATCATACTTGGAATTCAAAAGGTGCTGCCTTATAATGAAATCATTTCTAGGCATTCTTAGTATAGTATTGCTTTTTTACTAAAGTGTTTTGCCATATTGTGTGTTCATTAATGGTTTTTGTAATAGTGCCTTGTGCTTTTTGTAGTGCCTTATACATTTCATCTGTTTTATGTGTGAGAGTATCACATATACATATAAAAGTCAAGCAAACTTTATTTTCTTTAAAGTGCACTTTCAGATTTAAACTCACTTATGTTATATATATATATATATAATATATATATATATATAAAACTGCATTTCTGACCTAAACACATTGTGTAAGTGTAGTTACTGTGTTATTTTTGAACGAGTTTTGTTTTATTATATCTGTATTTTTTATTGTCTGAGCAGTGAAATGTGAAAAGCAGTGGGCTCTTGAACATATAATTGCCTTATGTCACTATTCAAGAGAGCATATCTAAAACTAAATGTTTAATCATGGCAGAAGATAAATAATTATTGTATTTATGTATGGAATAAACATTGTTTTGAATGTGATTTGCAATGTGATATGTCATCGTAATAGGGGGTTTAACCCCAAAATCTCTGGTGTTCAATTTTCCACACAATTCACATGATATGGGCTTTGCATCTGACAAGAAAAACATTTATTTATTTTAAACTTTTTTATTTTATTTTTTTACTTTAATTATAAATATATATTTTGTCATTTAATTTTATTAAACAGAGACTTTTATGCTAGCATTTCCCGGTTTTGACGCGGGAAGTTGTCACGTGTAGAATGAGTTGGCACACAAGCCGGAAGTAGATTAGTGTGGGGTGGGATCAGAGTGCAGCAAGAGTTTTGACACATTCCTGTAGGCCTTTCTGTGAATATTTCTGCTTTTACGTCAAATTCTGTAAGTTCTAATGCAATTATTTAATTATTTACACCTTAGTCATAATCAGCGCTCTTGTGAATGCGGTTAATTGTATGTGTACCTCAAATAATGCGAATTTACACATGTTGTGCTGCTCTGACAGAGACATGTTTATGTATGTGTGTTTGTTTACATTATGTATTCCCATTATTCATACGCGTGTGTGTATATATATGTCTAATATCAACTAGTAGTTTAAAGTCTTATTTTGCTCTTATTTGCAGCCAGTCTAAGCAGATGTACTTTGACAGAATACATTTGTAATTAATTCAATCGTATGTTATATTTGATGAGATCTATCAACAAATGTTTATTCCTTGCCTTATTATCAAACGTTTAAATATGGAATCATGACTCCCTGCCTTTAATATTTTAATCTGTTATGAATTATTTGATAAATACACTTGCTCCTGCTAATTTTCTTGTCTTTAATGACCGAAATTGTTCTCTGTGAGCTGCTTTTACCAGTTGAGATGTAACCAAAACCAAGTAGTTTCTCTTTGTATTTGACATGAGTTGGTTATTGATCATGTCTCATAATTTGTAAAGGCCTCAGAGATGGTTTCATCTTGTGGCTGGGGGCTTTTTTGTAGTAAACATAAGATGGTGCTGTTGTATCGATTTTAATGAGCATCACCAGAGCACTTGCGTGTCTGCATTTCTTACATGGTGTAATAAATAAAAGGAACGAGTGTGCTTTGCATCAGGGCTTTTGTTCAAACGTAGTACAATATATTGTCATAACCTTGTGCATTTCACATTCTTAATGCTAATTAATGTTTACAGGGTCTGGTTAATAATGTGCATGTAATCGGTTAGGCTGATCACTGCTGATATGTTCTCATAGACTTACAGGTAGCCGTCATGAGTCTTCAATGGACGGCCGTGGCAACGTTTCTGTATGCTGAGGTGTTTGCTGTACTACTTCTATGTGTCCCCTTCATCTCCCCAAAACGGTGAGTTTCAGATGTTGTTGAAACACGTTAAAGCAGTAGTTCACCCAAAAATGAAGATTTGCTGAAACTTAACTCGCCTTCAGGCCATCCAAGATGTAGATGAGTTTGTTTCTTCATGGAAACAGATTTAGAGAAATTTAGCATTACATCACTTGCTCACCAGTGGATTCTATGCAGTGAATGGGTGCCGTCAGAATGAGAGTAAAAACAGCTGATAAAAATATCACAATAATCTACAAGTAATCCACATGAGTCCATCAATTAACAACTTGTGAAGTGAAAAGTTGCGTGTTTGTAAGAGACAAATTCGTCATGATGTTTTTAACTTTTAAACCTACTACCATAATCCATAATAATGCTTCCTCCAGTGAAAAAGTCCATCACCTGTTGTTCTCTCACATAAAATCCAGCGACATATTTGTTTAGAATAACTATTTTGGACTGTTTTCACTTGTCAACAGTGCTTGATCTGTGCGTATTTCTGTCCTGATTCAGGTGAGACAACTTTTTCACTGTAGAAAGCAATATGTATAGAGGACTCTATTGTTTCTTACAAACACACAGCTCTTTGCTTCTTAAGACTTTTATTGATGGGCTTGTGGATTATTATTGTGATGAAATATCACCTGTTTGGTAAATTTGCTGTATTTTTCAAATCTGTTCCAATGAAGGAACAAAAACTCATCTACGTCATCTTGGATGGCCTGAGGGTGAGTACATTTACAACAAATTTTCATTTTTGGGTGAACTATTCATTTAAGTTAAAGGTCCACAGTAGGGTTGTGACGGTGAGGAAATTTTCCCACCGGTTAATCGACGTGTGACAACACCGGTAATACCGGTATCACCGCGGGGGCGTTCCCTATTTTCCTCACTTTCCTTCACTTTTAAATAGCTTGTAAAAGCGGTGTGCGCATTTTACTTTCACTTTCAAATAGCGGCAATTCGGAGTAAAGCAATTGTTCGTTTTTAGTTCGTTTGAATTTTCCCTCTTTTCCTCGCTTTCCTTCGCTTTTAAATAGCTTAAAAGCGCTGTGCGCATTTTACTTTCAATTTTGAATTAGCTGCAGTTCGGCGTCAATTGCTTGAATGCAACATCAAAATACAACTTCAAACTCACTTTAGTGTATATATAAAACATATATTAACTTTTATTAACAAAACAAATAAAATTACACCATGCTATAGGGCAGGCTATGCCTAATATAAAATAACAAATAACTTACATAAAGTTTAATAGGTATACAAAACTGGAAATAAGTAAACATGTATAATATATAACCAAATAAATAAGAAACGTAGAATGTTTATTAGCAAAACGAATGTCAAATAAAATAAATAAATGACACAAAGTTTAAATAAAGTAAAAATCAGCAAACAATGTGGAACCAATTAAATAAGAAACGAATGTTTAAAAAAACTTCCAAAATCACCTTAGATAAACGGCAAAAGTCAACAGGCTTTTCAAAATCCAAAATATTGCCAAACAGGCGCTTTTACATTTCGTGTCGAAACTAAATAATCCGGGATCGTCTTGTCTGTCTCAACCCACTCTTCTTGTCAGTCAGCTCGACTCACTCTCCTCACTGGAGAAATGAAATGTGATCTGTGATGCATCTGTCGTTCAACTGGATTGAACAGCCGCGTTCAGTTTTTAATTGTAGTGTCTGTTCTTTTACTGAACTAAATTATTTTTATTACTATAAAAAAATCAAAACGACGGTGGGGGTCGGTGACGCGGTTGGCAAGTGACGTAACCGGTGTTGCGGCTCACCGTCTATCGCGACAAACCTAGTCCACAGTAATCTTAATAATCTCTGATAGTCATCATGTTTTAAAAACATTTAATTCTCTCACACCAGTTTACTTCAACCTCTTTCCAGGAAAGATTCCAGAATGTTGCCAGTACTAAAATCTGTCCATTTGTGGCTAAATATTGTTGCTGTGTTAAAGCCCTAAAACATGAATCTCACACACATTTAGCTGAGTTGAGCTGAGTTGGTTATTTTGATTCCAGCATTACCAGGATAATTAAATTCTGTTCAATGCTTTTATTCCACGAACAGATTTTGAATAGGAGTCTTGTGAGAGAGTCATTTCTTAATTTGAGAGCATTCACATGACCTTCAAGTCATTTTAAAGGTTGCAAGGTTGGGACACTTTGGTAAACAACATTTTCTTTGAATCACAAAGAAGCACTCTGAGAATTTTGCACAGACTCCTCAAAACACAAACCAAAACAAGAATGCGTCTCAAAGACACCTGTATGTGCTCCTTTTTTGGTGTGTAGGAGAAATTAGGGCTGTGCAATTAATCGCATGCGATTGTCATGCATCTCGTCAGTAAAGCCGGTTCTGTGATTAGTAGTAAATCTCCAGCACCTGCTTTCAGATGGAGCGGCATTTACTACACAGAGCCGTAGTTCACTGACAAGCTACGCAATATAGCATTCATAATCGAATGCGATTCATCTGCGATTATGAACGTGGTATTGCCTAGCTTGTCAGTGATCTACGGCTCTGTGTAGTAAATGCCGCTCCATCTGAAAGCAGGTGATGGAGATTTACTACTAATCACGGAACCGGCTTTACTGACTAGATACGCTTGACAATCGCATGCGATTAATTGCACAGCCCTAGGAGAAATGTAAACCGTAATGATGTTCTTTGGACTTTTTGAGAGATTTGTGTTATCTTATGTTTTATTTTGCCCTCTGTTAATTAAGATGTTATCTCTCTTGTTGCCTTTGTAGATGGAGCAAATTTTTCAAGTCTAGACTGGTCACTGTCATCACGACGTATGGAAACACTGCCTTCATCGTCATCATTTGTATTCTTGTCTTTCTGCTCGTAGGTGAGCTTGAAAACACCTCACTGCATTGTTCTCATTAAGCAGTCTTGTTCATTCTTAGGTTTCTGCATAAATCTACATACACCATCACATGGCAATTAAGTCATTATGAAGTTAAAGAGGATGTATCATTATTAAAAGTTGCAAAAGCAGGTCATTCAGAACTGATTGCTGTATTGATGACTGCCTATATTTACATATCAGTGCTTTAGTATTCAGCAATTTGGCAGGGTTATTCATTTTTTTATATGAAAAAGATAGTTAGTCATGACAGATCATTAACATATACTACTGTTCAAAAATTTGGGCACAGAAAATTCAGATTGACATCACAGGAATAAATTACATTTTTAAATATATTAAAATAGAAAGCAGTTATTAAATATTATACAGTTAATAAAATATTATTAGCATTGTTAAAGTGTAATAATGTTTCACAAAATTACTGTTTTTTTTATCGGTATTTTTTGATCAGATAAATGTAGCCTTGGTGAGTATAAGAAGCTTATTTCAAAAACATTAATAAAATCTTACTGAACCCTATGTCCTACTGACAGTAGTGTATAAAGCTCTAAAGGTTTAAAACAAAATTTTAACTGTTTTTATTGCAAGACTTGAAGATTGAGTTACATTCTGCGTTTCTTCAGGGAAAAATAAAATGCTTTAAAAGTGTAGAATATGACCTTTTTAAGGTCAAAAGAAAGATAAATTAAACTAATTATATTATGTGTTAAGTTTGGGAATTTGTGTGAATGACTGTATGCAATAATTAAATCTGCAATAATTAAAGTAAAAACAAATTTAACTGTTAATACATAATTTTGACAGCCCTTGTATTTTGCATTGATTGAACTAGATTTATGAATGAAAATTTTTGAAAAGTTTTTTATTTCTGCCTCTACAGATGCATTTAGAGAAATAAGAAAATATAGTTTGACAGAGAAAGTGGATCTGAGCAACAACCCCGTGGCCGTTGAGCACATCCACATGAAGCTCTTCAGAGCCCAGAGGAACGAATACATCGCCGGCTTCGCTCTGCTCCTGTGTTTGTGAGTGTTTTTTCCCCATGACTCTCTCTATGCCACTTTCTCCCGCAGGTCTCTCTCGTTTCTGTATTTTGCCCACCTCAACATGTCTCTCTTTGGCACTGGTTTTCTGAACACGATCAGTTGCACGGTCTAAGTGTTGCTTTGGTTGATGGCTCCCAGCAGATTTTCTGGACCAAGCTTGTAAACAGAACTTCACCCGGACTATCATAAGAGGGTCTTTGGGTTCGACACGTTCAATCCCTGAGGAGTGTATTTATAAGACAATGCACAAGTTGATTCATCCTGTGTTATATTGCAGTACCCACTAAAATTACCATCCAACTGGCAAATAACATATTTACTCTCAAAGATTTTTTCGTACTCTCATTAAGGGCTTGCCGTGTGTACATTTAGTACCCTTGGTGTACAAAACTACAAGTTGTTTTTACTAGGTTTTGTCCTCAACTTCTGTAACGCTTCTCAACTGTCACTGTAGCCAATTACAGCCCAGTGCTGCAGACCTCATCCGTCAATCAAATCAGACCGTCCGCCCACTCAAGGATATTCAGGACAGATAGGTTGTTTGTGTCATAACAAAAGATGTTCCGTTAGAATTTTTATCAGTGATGTTTAGTTCAAATATTATCAAATTTATTGATATGATAAATGATATTACAGCGTGTACTGTTCATATTATGATAAGGATGATAAGGGGAACTACAAAAGGTGAAATGGCTAACATTTTTGGCACTTCTAGCATATGACAATAAGTAATCTAGACTTTACTCATACATTTTTTTTAAATATGCAAATTTGTTATAGTATGCAAATGTGTGCATGTTTGATAGTATAAGTATATAGAAGCCTCATGAGACTTTTATTTTGAAATGTGATCCACAACTAAGTGATAGGTAATAGAGTGATGCAGTCTTGCAAACTATTCTTACTTTATTGCTTGTAGATTTTTAATAAAGACTGAAGAGCATGAAAAATCCATTTGGGTTTTTGTCGAGGGAACCGGGGTGTATGCAATAGTTAGACCCTTTTATTTTGTTAAAATGTTTAATTAAATACTTTGTGCATTAATTAAATACTTTGTACTTTAAATGCATCTTTTTTTTCTTTTCTTTTTTTTAAAGATGAAAAGCCCATAAAATGCCACCGAAACAAGTTATATCTAAAATTAGTTTTGTGACATGAGCTGTTTTTGCTCAATGCAAAATGTCAGTCATAGTGGCTTTTGAGGGAGCCAAGGTGATATAAAATCATACAAAGGAATTTTTTAAAACATTTTTGAATATTATTTTGTATGTTTTCTGAAATTTTGGTAGTTCAAAAGTCAAAATGGTTAAATGCACCAAAAATCATTATTTAAGGCTGTAGTTCCTCTCCTTAACCCTGGGCCAGCTTTATTTATTTTTCCACACTGAAAGTGAAAATCCATTAATGTTCTCTATACATAAATTGCTTGTCATGCCAATTAGCTTCCTGATTTCTCTAGCACAGATTTATCTTGCATCCCCACCTTATTGGAGACAGTGTCTTTATTTATAGTCATGAAGGTGAATGAGTTGTGTACGTGTGGGGCAGACAGAGAGCAGAATATGTTGCTATATTACAGTAGACATGGAAAGAATCTTATGTTAAGCCGGTTGGGGGTCCCCCACACTGTTTCCATTCACAAACCTCATCCACGGGTACTTAACTTCCCGCATCCCAATTGGCCGGTTTGTTGTTGTGCTCTATACGTAACATTAGAGAGTCTCCCAGATCTGCATAGTTTTCCCATACAGGGGTTTCACCATATTTTCTCTGAATGGCAGGTTATTTATATCCTGCTGCATGACTATTACATCCATTAGTGATACTACTTCCCTTGACTGCCGGGCTTGAGTGTCGTTTTCATAATCATGTGGACAGCTGCAGGACATGTGCTCAAGCAACTGGTGATGGCATTATATTTAGCCGGTGTTCATGGCGTTCTCGCTGGCCAAAAGGCCATGACTTCTGTTACAAAATGGACCTCCTCCACCTTGCCAGCAAATGCACAGATGCCACAAAGGTGACTGAAGTGGCGCATGACGGCTTGACATGTGCTTCAGGCATGTTAGGATGCAGTAGCTGTGGATGATTCCAATGTTTAGTTTAAGGGCTGTTCAGTGGTTAATGCAAGAGAATGGCAAACATGACAAAAATAACTTGTTTTTAGAAAATATATATTAAATCTATTAAATTAAATATTAAGTCTATTTGTCTTAGTCCACTGGCGCCTGACAAAATTTAGTTAGATTTATGCTTAAAATAAGACAAAAATTTTTAGTGGGGTAAGAGAAATACATTAAATTAAGGAGATATTCTCTGATCTCTTCTAAGTAAATGAATCTTTTATGGATGTTTGGAACTTTTTTTTCTCTTTTATTTTCGACATTTTATACACATGCATCTGGTATTATACTTTTTCTTCCTTTTTCTTCTCTGGCTTTATTGATTCTGATATTATGTACATGTAACCAGTCATCATCATCTGAAAAGCTGTAATAATCTAACCTTAAATATGATCAAGTATTCATGACACACTTTTTTTATTGCAAAATAATCTAATGTATTTTTTAATCTCATAGAGTATATCAAGAAGGGTGAAGCCCATTAAGTATTGTAGCATTATTTTCATGGCAATAAAAATTTGTTTCTTTGTTTAAAATATATATTTTTTTAATTGTGAAGTATTTATGCATGATTAGTATATGCAGTATTCGTTGTGCTGCCTTTAATTTATTATGATTCTAATGGAAATTATTATTTTTGAACAGGACATTTTTGTTGCAGTGAAAATATTACATTTTTTAATTATTGTTTTGTTTGTATTTGTCTGTACTGTATAAGCACTTGCACCAACTAAAAAATTTAAAAATGGCAAATTTAAAAATCACGAGAGGTTAAAGTGAATCTACTGTAGATCAACTCAGATCACCGTGTTACGTCATACAGAGCATTTGACCAAAATGTGGGCTTCTCTCGAATTTATGCAAGTTGTGGCTGTCCTTGGTTAAACCCATCTGCTTTTTGGTCACAACAGCCTTTTTCAAAACCTTGAACCCTTTTACACGTGTGGGCACTGACATGAAGGCAATGCATGCTGCATTCGAGCACACGGTTCAGATGTCATCAGCCTGTGCTTCTCGGCTCATCTGGCTCTATGAAATTGTAGAAGAGTGACGGTATTAAATGAGGAGAATAGCCAAAAGCTATACACTGGATTTAGGCTGGCAAAAACCATGTGATATTTGCCTATTGTCGAGCAGTAGTTACTCATTTGTTTATGCTGATTTTGTTGTGGTGATTAATGCACATCTGTGTTTCCTAGAAGTGTTATGCATGCTTCTGGAGATAAAAAAAAAATAGTTAAAAAATACAGAAAATGTACTGTAATATTGTGAAATATTATTACAATTTAAAATAATCATTGATTTATTGTCAGTGTAGGAAACAATACTTTTTTTCAGGATTCTTTGATGAATAAAAAGTTCAAAAGAACAGCATGTATTTAAAATATAATCTTTTTGTAACAATATACACTACCGTTCAAAAGTTTGGAATCAGTAATTTTTTTTTATTTTATTTTTTTAAAGAAATTAATACTTTTATTCAGCAAGAATGTGTTAAATAGATAAAACGAGATAGTAAAGACTTACATTGTTAGAAAATATTTATATTTTTAATAAATGCTGTTCTTTTAAACTTTTTATTCATTAAAGAATCCTGAAAAAAGTATCACAGGTTCAAAAAAAGATTACATAAACAGCACAACTGTTTCCAACATTGATGATAAATCAGCATATTAGAATAATTTCTGAAGGATCATGTGACACTGAAGACTGGAGTAATGATGCTGAAAATACTGCTTTGATCACAGAAATAAATTATATTTTAAAGTATATTAAAATTGATTATTTTCTAAATCGATTATATCAATTATAATAACATTTCACAATATTACTGTTTTTTTCTGTATTTTTAATCAAATAAATGCAGCCATGATGAGCATAAGAGACTTCTTTAAAAAATATTAAAAATATCACTGATCCTAAACAACTTTTGAATTATATGATTCATCATAAATTCATTATGGTAAATTCTACATAAACTATTTTTATTAAGAATTTAGTGTAGAATGTTTAAGAAATTGTAAAATAAGTGTTATAGAATGTTTAATATTTAATGCATTTGTTCGTTTAATAACATCATAAAGTAGTACTGGTAGGTTTGCTACAGGATGTGGTCAAAAGGGACCCTAAACCTGTGTATGATATTCTGTACTCTAGATATGGGCCATATCTGGTATGTTTTCCCCCACCTGTTTTATTGTCTGGAAGGTGAAAATTGCAGAAAAGTAACAGCACATGTCTCCTCATCAAGCCACAAGATTTGAGGAATCTTTGATGTCTGGAGCAGAAACGTGTAGGACGAGTTACATAATGAAGTTCAGTGTTTAGATTTAACGGTTTGTTCAAATAATAGTAATAGAGATTGTTGCCTTTTCAAGCACCAATAATTATGGCAAAATCTGTGTCAGTACAATGCAGAATCGCAACGTAGGCTGCTGTGGTGAGCTGTAATGATCAGATACACACTGACTGTTTAGTAAATGTTGTTTTTTTCCCTCCAGGCTTTTGAGACGTCTGGCCACTCTGCTGTCTCAGCAGGCTACACTGATGGCCTCTAATGAAGCCTTTAAAAAGCAGGCAGAGGGAGCAAATGATGCTGCGAAGAAGTACATGGAGGAAAATGAGAAACTGCAGGAGGTGAGAGAGTTGTGCATGAAAATGCCAGTCTAATAGTAAAGCCTTTTCATGACCCTAAAGGCTTTCAAGGTGCGGTTACCTTTACCTGGTACCTGGTTAATGACCAGTGGTGTAACTACGGGACGTGTGGGTGGGACAGTTGAACAGGGGAGGGACTGTGATGAATATGCTGTATTAAGAAACTGTTCAACCAAAAATTTATATTCTGTCATTGTTTGCTCACCCTCATGTGATTGTAAATGTCTATGACCAACACAAAATAAGAAGTTGGTAAGCTGCTCTATAGTGACCTAATTCAAAAAAATAAATTATGGTGTTGGAAAGACATGAGAATGACTAAAATGATGACAGAATTGTAATTTTGAGATTATTTATTCTTGAATTATTGCTAACATGTTTGTGATTTAGTTGTGATCCCACATGCACTTCATTAGTAATGCTTTAACATCACATGTTCTCATGAGTCATTCTGGTTTGTTAAATGTTCTTCATTTCTCACACTGTCCATCAATATCACAGTGCTGCAGACTTTGCACTTTACCACTTGAGGGCAGAGGTTCACATTATGTCTAGAAATGGGTTTAGAATTTACAGACTATGTGGAAGTGTCCAAAAGTAACACTTGACACTCACGTACTGTTAGATGCCAGTAAAATTACTTGAAATGTTGAGTTACTGGCCATCTGCTTGGTGACCCTTTTTTTGTGGTAAGAAATATAAATGGCTAGAAAATGCCAACACTTTTGTTCCTTATGACCCAAAAAGAAATATGTTACTATTTAATTTTTTTTTTGATTAGGCTTTTATGTTTGGGGTTGTAAAGACTTTTTAATTTTAAAAAATATATTTTTTAAAGAAGTCTCTAATGCTCACCAAGGCTGCATTTATTTGATCAAAAATACAGTAAAAACAGTAATATTGTGAAATATTACTATTTAAAATAATTACTTTCCATACACAAGAAAAATTTTTTTATTAATGTTGAAAACAGTGTAAAATTTAGTGTGTCCATGATGAATAAAAGTATTCAAAGTATTCAAAATAAATAAATAAATAAAATACATACTTAAAAAATAACCAGAAACATTTGAACAGTAGTATATGTATATGTACATATTTATGAGTTTTTATAAAAATATTTTAAAATTAATACATTTCTATTTGGTATGCATTTATTTGATATATGTCAAAACAGTAATATTATGAAATGTTATTACAATTTAAAATAATTACTTTCCATACTCAAGAAATAATAAACAATATTTTATTTTACTATTAATGTTGAAAATTTAAAAAAATTTAGTGTCCATGATGAATAAAAGTATTCAAAGAAAAAAAATACTGACCCCAAACATTTCAACAGTAGTTACCTACATGTGTACATATTATGATGAGAATAGTTTTTATAAAAATATTTTTAAAAATTAATACATTTCATACAGTAATTTTTATAAAAATGAGTAGGAATATATTTAGGAAATTGGGAATATAAACAGGAAAATATTTTGACTGTTCTAGTTGTTATAATATTACATATCAAGAAGACATTGTTGATAGCATCTTTAAGTAGGGCAAGTAACCCAAATATTGAGGTTTGGTTTAGTGGTTGATAATTGAAACTTTATAGGTGGTGATGAGCTTTCATCATTGTGCTCTTGAGACACTGAAACACATTTGCGTTCAGTGGACTTCCAGGGAAATTCAATGGAATTGCCAACCACTTTGTATAATTAACATCTGTTAAATAACTGACATTATAAACAATGTAGAGCGGAACTACAGTTCAATAGAACAGTTCCATGTTGACAGGCCTTTTCAAATGCAGTGAAAGGAGAAAGTACCGAGTGCTAGTTTGTGCCCTTATAGTAGAAAACATATGATGACACTCCGATGACTCGTGTCTGCTTGTGGCAGCCTTGACATTATCAAACTCATTTATGGCTGTGTGTCAATGATTAGTTATTATTACAGCACTGTATTGATATTTCTCAAGCATTCTGGTTAGGGTTTGTTCTAAACTTCTGACCCCGAGTATTAAACTTCTGATGGTAGTTCAGACTGAATTGGTTAACAGACAGACTCATTTCAAGCATTGTTTGATAGATAATTTTAGTCTTGTTTGTTCTGTTGTTAGTTTGTAAGCATTACACTTATAAATAGATTTAAGTTTGAAAATTTCCCAGTGGCCTTCATGGCATGTTCAACACAGTGCTATTATTGTTTGGATTTTTTAAATTTAATTATTATTTTTGTTAATTTCTAGTTTACTTTTTCAGCTTAGTTTTTTTATATAATCAGTTTTTTAAAAAAAAATTTTTTTTTTTACATTTCTGTTAATTTAGTTTTTATTTTATTTAAAGTTTTAAAGTTTTAGGGCTTCCAAAGTAGTGCACTAAATAGTATCATTTAACTAGCATTGCATTTTTTTCAGCACAGAGTCTAGGTATTATGGCATTTTTATGTTTAATGCAAATAAGCATTATTAGTGGTATTTATATACTATTATAATATTATTAATATTTTGAATTAGCTTTTATTTATATCATTCCAAATTTATTTTTTAGTCTTAAGTTTTAGTAATTTTTTATGTGCTTTTGTCATTTTTATTAGTTTTTGTTTTTTTCCATATAGCTTTAATTTGTTTTAATTTTAGTAATTTTAGTACTTTAACTTAAAATTTATTTCAGTTAGTTGCCATGGCACCATTTCTAATTTTATTTTGTCTTTTTTTTCTTGTAGTATTTATTAATATTTTTCTTAAAATTAAGATATTCTATTTTGTAATATCTTAATATTTGCATAACAAATTGCAATTGGTCCTCTGTTTTACATTTATTGACACTGAATTGTCATTGATCTGGTGTTCCTGTCTATGCCTATTGATTCTTGTAGTCAAGAAAAAAAAGGCATGCACTGACTATTATGACAGTTGCGAAACGTCTCACATATTGTATGACATTTGCAAACACTGTTATTTCCTTGCACGTCTAATTAGTTAATAAAAGCCCTGCAAACGGCTATCACATGCTGTGTTATTGTCTTTAGCAGTTGTAGTTTGTTAGTATGTAGATGCCTGAGCGTGGGGAATGCTGGGATAGATCAGCACTGCGTGGCTCAATTACAGTGCTGACGTGCAGTAAGTCACCACATTGATCTTTGCATGCTGTCACCCCATGCAGAAGCATGGCACACGTGGGTTATCACACACACACACACACACACCGCCATAATTCACGTCTGTCAAATGTTGTAACCACAGAGCGAGCCATAAACAAGAGCACAAGCCGTACTGAGTGACAGATGGTGGAATATTTCAATTTAGTAAATTAAGTTTTACCCTGGCATAATGAGGCCTGTAAATCTCCCGCTCTGTTCTTGAAGCGTCTGTACAGGACGAGTGTCCTTTGACGGGGTGAGATGACCTGACCGGCATTTGTGATTGTTTTGCTGCGGTTATTATTGATAGACTTGAATGCATAATCCATGTATAGATGCTAACGGGGCTGTACTGTGAGGGGACGAGGTGAGAACGGCACATGACCCTTTAAAGGGCCTGTATTGATCTCTCATCTCTGTTGATCGTTCTCCATCATTGGTCCCCAAGCAGTTATTGGAGCGCTCTCACAATTGAATGTGAATAAGATCATGAATCTTGCACGGTTCTGCTTCATAAAATCTAGTTCTATTGCAGCTATTAGTTATGTGAAATAGTTTTTTAATAATTCATAATGCAATTAGCTAAGACTGATCCTTTGGTATTTAAGCACTGATAGTTTTTGTGAGGGCTTGATGGTTGGAATGGGTCGTTTTCAGTGTTCAAACAATACCGTGGTCTTTGGGGGAGCCCACTTGTTTTTTTTTTTATATGGGGGGTGTTCGAGGGATTACAATGACTTACACTTGTAATTTAGCTGTTATGTATATTTGTATGCACTACTTGCTTTATGCAAGCACTATATAGGATAAATCACTATACAGGATTTACCCTATTAAACTTTATCGACACGAATTGATAGGTGACACAACTAACAGCCACCCACAAATAGTCTATAAACAAAGCATCAGGCTGTCTTTGAGTTCACATGAACAACGGTTACTGTGAACAGCCAGCTTTTTGTCAATGAATGTTTGTGGCTTACCCTCTTTGTGAAGGGTGTCAATGATTGTCTTCTGGACAACTGTCAGATCAGCAGTCTTCCCCATGATTGTGTAGCCTAGTGAACCAAACTGAGAGACCATTTTGAAGGCTCAGGAAACCTTTGCAGGTGTTTTGAGTTGATTAGCTGATTGGCATGTCACCATGTTCTAATTTGTTGAGATGCACCTGTATATGTTTTATTTTAGTTCATTTTTACCATTTTCACCCTTTCTGTGGGAATTTAGCAGGCTGTTATTGCTACTTGTACCATTAAGGCTTTACTGTATAGATAAATGATCATTGTTATGACTGGCGAATCTCCACGTATCGTAATGTAGGCGGTCATGTGGTTGTGACGTCATTAATGTGCCAATTTTGCACAGTGTTTTTGCTGATTTGTTCCCATAAATGATCTGGATGAACTCGAGAGGGAAATTTGCATTGTGAATGTTACAATATGTCTGCATAGGGCATTTATTTATATATTGGTTTATTTCTTTATTAATAAATAAATGTATTAATAATAATAAATAAATTAATAGTAATAATAATAATTATTATTATTATTGTTATTGTTGTTCTTGTTACAGGGCTCTATGCTTACTTTTCTTTTTAGGAGCACTTGTGTACTAGAACACCCCAAAAAACACATTATTTTTCACATATTTTACACTATTACAACACCTCTCTCCCCAGTCTGGCATGAACGGCTCGAATAGTTCCTGTATCAAATGAAGGCCCGCCTTCTGCAATACGAAATGTGCTGTGATTGGTTAGCTGAGCCAGTGTGCGTTGTGATTGGCACCACTCGGCGCCTGGTCGGGAAATGTCACGCCCCTTACCATAGCCGCCTGCGAGCTTCAGTGTAAATATTGCATCAAAATCAATTTGAAGTGGACTGTGAGCTTTGTAACTTCGCAGATCTTTTTTATGCTCAAACAGCAACATTACAGACTAACTAAAGTTGAAAAAGTGAAAAAGCATAATAGGAC